AAATGGGTTGTTTATTTATCTGTTGAATACATTAGCTTGAGTGTTTACTGTGCAGTCATGTGCATGACCTTATACAGTATTAAATGAAATGTACATTTCTTTGCTAAATAGTAAATACATTAATTTTGCTTAGGTGTGCAGCCATGTGGGCAATTTTAATAGTCGTAAAACTTAACGTTGGTCGGTCTCGTATTTCCAAAGGTAAACAAGAAAAAGAATAACACATTGGTTTCAACGGAAACAAACAATGAATCAATTGCTTTGAACACACATATACCTCTTTAAATAAAGCTCAATCGTTTGATGAAAGATACATTTTTTTTTAATGAGAGACGAGCAAATAATAATTTTGTTGTACAATTGTGAAGATTGTAAAGGGAAGATATTTACTTTAATTCTACTCTCGGTATAAGCTTTAGTTTTCTATACGCTGGACTGAAATATGATATGGTGTAATGGTAGGACAAAAGAAAATTAGATAGCTTAGCCACGATTTCGATTTGAATTGACACATACAAAAACTTACTATTGTTCAGTATAAACGACTCAAAGCTTTTATACAATTTCATGTCTATCTATCATACAGATTTATATATTTATTGTACTTCAGTTGATATTATGATAGGTATTTAAACAATGAGATAATTTTACAAATCTTGCATACAAAATATGTCCATGCCTCAATCATGATTGACTGAGGATTGTTTCAGTTGAGTAAAATATAAGTACAAAAATCAACAAGGGTCTAAACACATATTTGTTAAGCACCCGTTCTAATAAACGTTTTATTATGTCTAATTGATTTCTATATGATACTTGGAAACTACCTTTGCAGATGTTGAGGGCATAGAGTTACATTGATCGATCTTTGCTATTGTTATAAGTTTAGGCATATCTATTATAAGGTAGACGAGTAATGAAAGCTTGCAACCCCTTTATGCGTTTAATTGCGAAACTGCGTGACTATTAAACGTTTATTTTTTATATTATAAATTACAAATGAATTGTGAATGTCGATCTTTATATATTAAAACGTAAAAACAAATATTCTACTAAAATTAATATTTGCATATAAATGCAAATAAACAACACGTGATATAGATTCAAAACAGATCACAATTTACTGCTTAACATCATAAAATAGGAAAAGTGTAAGCGGGCATTAAGTACAGCTGCCCATAATATAAATGTAATGTATTACAGTCGTTTCATTAAAACGTTTTTGTTAAATATTTGTATTTCGGAAACTTCCGTCCTTCACGCCATAGATGTTGTGGGACGACGTGCACTGACTGTATCGAGTAGATATTGTGTACGCGTTAAGGTAGAACACCCCTAATAGGCACTATAAGGAACTGTGAAATTGACAACATAGGACAGTTAAATGCCTTTAATAACACCTGTATGCAAAACGTAAGCAAAATTTAACGTACGGTTTATGGTTTTGGACACTTTTCTGAACTAAAAGTTTGCCATTAGAAGGGCTTTTTTCAGAAATGAGGAAACTCTAAATAATCTATAATATCATTAGTATGTTTTCCTATTGCACATTGTTAAGAAACATGTAATGACATTAAGGTAACAAATTAAACAAGCAAAATGATTGTTTTTAAACGAAATGTTTTTAATATGTATAAGAATGTAACCTATCCCACCCACTTTTAACACTTATTTGACCATTTCCCTCATAATGTAAAAAGCCTTATGTAAAATATCCCTAAAATTTTCCACAATAAGGGGCTGTTTTCAAAGTCTGCCTAAATTCTTTTAAAATGTATATTGGTTGGTCTTGCAAAATATAAAATACATTTACCGATTAGTTTTTATTTAATTAAACTTTTAAAATATATTGTATCATATTTGCTATTAAATTTGGCATTATTTAGTAAATAAATACCTACAATAATTATATAATTAAAATGAAACATTTTTTCTTCCATAAGGGATCTGAGAGATTAAAAAAAGTGTTAAAAAGAAAAGAAAAGAAAGAAAGAAAAAAAGTTGCCCCTTTTGGGGTTTGAACCCGCGCCCCTGAATTTCAATACACTTTACAGTGATACAAACCTATTCGAATACTCTTCAAAGTGGAGATAGGGCATTAGGGGTATACAACCTTATATCAATATAAAGCGTGCATAATTTTACGTCAGATTTGAATGACGTTTTCTCATTTTCTGCACTATGTTGGTTTCCTTATGGGGCTGCCGAATGCCAAATTATGAGGCAATGTGGTCGTGGAGAATTAAGGCTTGAAGTCACGATCTCAAGGTGGAGGGGGTAGACACCGTAATGACTAGGCCATCGCTCCTGTTTGTTTACGTGCATTATTCAACATTTACCATAACAAGTTACAGATAGTATATAATACCACTAAAGAACATTTAAAATGGCCAAATAATCGTTTTCTATCAAAGACCTTTTACGCCAGTTTGCCACATTAGGATTGTACAGATAAAGCAACAGTAAATAATCTAAAACTCATAGACCCTCTAAAAGTCTGCTCCAATTGTCAGCTCTGGCTTTCAGACTAATTATACCTACTACTGAAGTGAACATCACATTTTATTATGCCAATGAAAATTTATCTTACAAAGCAGCTTTAAAGCAGCACGCCTCCAGATTCATGCTGATTTTCATGAAAATTTTGAAAATGTATTTAATGTATAATATTGTAAAGTAACTAAAAGGAAGCAATTTACAAATTATCAATGGCACTTACAAACCATGTAAAGTACCAAAAAGTGGTCAAAATATGTATAAAAAGCCTTTACTGCGTTAATAACGCATTAGAAATATAGTTGTAAATACTGAAAAATCAGTCATTATTCACACATAAAATGTAAAAAATTACTTGAAACTTAAACTTTTTACTTTTCTACTTTTTTCTCAAGTTTGATTTTATTGAAGTATTTTGACTCATCTGGAGGCATGTAGCTCTATAACTTACTACTTTATTTAGGAAAAAACAATATCTTTTAACGTGCAAAGCTACCAGAGCAAATATTCTCAATGTTGTTTTCCCAATGTATCGTATACAATTAACCATCATTTGACTCATTTACTGAAATAAGCATGTTTTTGTTCTACATGAAAAACCTTCGTAATGTTGTTTTGTTTTTGTTTTTCTTTCGTAATATTTACCCTTTCTTATGTATTCCCTTGAAGTTTTTTAACGTGACTATTGTCGTGGTATTTATTCCGAGTAATGGTCAGACTATTCATTTTCCCCATAAACTTAAATAATGAGAAATTGTCTCAAAACAGTGAGCTTTATATCCTTAACATTAATTTTTCTATGAGAATGCCTATGGAATATCCGACGCACGAAAATTGTCTCACAAACAAAACAAAGGAGGTTGCCATTTTTTCATTGATTCATTGAGATATGCGCGGAATTTAAATGAATTAAAGATTAAACACCTTAATAGCTGCAGTCTGTCTTTAAGTATTTATCTCATTTTTTCTGTTTAAATCGTGTTTTACTCTTCATACCAGCGACGATAAGTTAAAACCTTGGCAGGTTTCAGGCATTAATCATATCGCTGTGAAATTAACTATAAGCTAAACACCACAGAAAGCGATCCGCTTCATATTTCATGTTAAAATAAAGCGGAAGAAAATTTATCATGTGTTACAAACACATAAAACACCAGGATATATATGAGCCGTGTCATGACAAAACCAACATAATAGGTTAGCGACCAGCATGGATCCAGACCAGCCTGCGCTTCCGCCCAGTCTGATCAGGATCCATGCTGTTCGCTATCAGTTTCTCTACTTGTTATAAAGTTGGTACGCGAACAGCGTGGATCCTGATCAGACTGCGCGATGAGCAGGCTGGTCAGGATCCATGCTGGTCGCAAACCCATTATGTTGGTTTTGTCGTGACGCGGCTCATATGTTAAAAGGATGTTTTTAAAGGACGCTTATACCTCAGAAAGACTGTCATTTTCATTTCTCGAAAACCTTTTACTAGTATTTTGGCATTGTTACAGTTTTAAAAAAATCAACACAACACAAACTCTCTTTTGTCACACAGATGAACTGTTTTGCTTCTTTTGCTCTGTTGGCGAGTGTTTATTAGTATTTTGTATGGTAGTCAAAATACTATTTTGTTAAAGTTTTACTACTTTTTGACACAATACTTCACGTTCAGTTCTACTCTTTTTTAGTTGTAAATCATCTTACTTGCTCAAAATCCATATTCAAAATATTATTAAACACATGTTTGTCATTACTAAACAATTTAAAAAAATCATGAGGCATTTAAAAATACCCGAGAAAACTAGAATTTTTATCTTTGTTGTCAACAAAAAAGATGACACTTTATTCATTTAAAAACATTTACAAATTGTTGACACAATTTTTTCAAATCTTTGGTTATCTTCCAGCAATACATTCTTTTTAATAATAAATGTGTATGCTAGGGTTACATATTGTCATAGAAGATTGAAAGTTAATTAATTAATCAATTAATAATTTCTATTTTTTCTTTTCATGATCTTAAAATATGATGACACGAAACACATTTTGAAGTCAGCGACCTCCTCTTCGAGTTATCTGCTCTTGAATTTGAGATTTTTTTGTAATTATCAAGGGGGCAGATAATTTACATACAGGTACACGTTTTTTTTCCCCATTTTATCAATACAAAATTTCATGGAATTCCTTTAAAAAATTCTATTCCTTCCATTCAGTAAAAAGTATGGAGACTGAAAGAATTCTTAAAAAAAACAGGCCATCTTTTTTGAAAAGTCGAAAAAAGGTTGAAGTTAAGAAAAAAAAAAACACTACTTCTCCATACTTATTCTTGAAATCTTGCAACTGGAAGTCCGCTACGTGAAATGCAGAACAATTAGGCATAGCTAGCCTTTATTGTGAATAATCTGCCATTGAAAAAAAATAATATAAAAATTAAATAATTTAGGTAAGTATAAGTTCATGTAAATTATAATCATTAGTTTTTTTTCCCTGCGTTTTGTCTTTATTTAATCTTAGAATACGCCTTTGAAACAGTTAAGATATAAAGTATAAAGAATATAAAGATACCGGTAATTTAGAAATAATAGATAATATGTGGCATTACAAATTAGTAGTTTCAATTAACATTTCGAGTTCCATATAGTTTCCATTTGTTTAGCCGTCACTTGGTGTGACGTAAACATTGTTTTACCTTTATAAACACATGCATCTAATTTCACCCTGCCTCGATTAAAACCTCCTTTATTTTTTACAGATCCTCCAATTTTCCTTAAACAAAGACCAACATATATGTCCTCCAGATGAAAAAATGGAATTTTAGGGGATATGGCAAATATTTTGTTCACTATATTGAAACTTGTAATGTAGCCAGTCCCAGAACAGTAACCAGGAAACCGTCTTTCTTTGTATGATTTTTTGGAGGCATACCATTTTGAACCATTGTTCCTGATTGGACTTGCAATTTTCTCACAAGAACCGACCAAATGATTTTCTAACTCTGCACCAGATGTGTTTACATAATGTACGAAATTTGGAACATTTATATACATGTCATCGTCCGTTTTGAGAATATATTTAGCTGTAGGACAAAATTTCACAACCCATTTAAATCCCATTATGGTCTTATAAGTTAAATTGTTATAAGTATCAACAAAATCTTCTTTTATTATATCATTATGCACGTTATTTTCCTGTACAACTTTTTCGTGAAGATCATCATTTGTCGGCTTGCCGAGCAAAAACGCATAACGTACGTTACCAGTATTGTTCTTGGAGTATGACAGCCACGTTCTACGAATGACGTCACGTTGTTCAAAGTTCTTATGTACTGTCAAAATCATGATAAACAAATCTATTGTGTCGTTGTTGTCGCTTTTTTTCTTACAGATTTTCTCATTATTTATCAAATATTTAAAATCATGAGTAAAACATTTATCACATACTGTTTCTCTTATTTCATCCGGTTTTTTTGTGCTTTGTTCTTGTGTCGAATTGTTTAGATTTTTATCCCATACCGTCCGATTCACTCCCACGGTATAGTTTCTGATGAGTTGTTGTAATGCTTTCCCAAAGTCTTCACCTCCGTTTATATGTATCCCTAATATAGACTCAATTAAACTAATGTCTTTTCTAAATATATTAACACATTTTTGAGTACGATACTCCATTATTCGAAGTTTTGACATACTTATAAAACATGTCACAATGGTAACGAAAATTAAAATCACAATAACATGACGTTTTGATTTTAAAGACATATTTGTACGTAACTCTACATACATATTTGCTAATTAATCCCACAGTGTCCCAAACGCTAACATATTCATTCAACGATCACAGTTTATTCAAAACTACCTGGGTAGCAAAGTAATGTATTGAATATACATACAGCTTGATACGCACAAATTGACAAGGACGTTAAATTATAGTGACTGTAATTATAACTAGATAACTGAATACATTGTAGTGTATTGAATGACGTTATTATTTACAATTCATTGCCGGACAGCTGAAATGCTGCATCAAGTGGCCGTTTTATTTCGATAAAATATCATTTAAATGGCGCAGGTATAAACACACTTTTACTATGCCGTTTATATTATGGGTGGTCGTCACATAACATTGGGAAGCTATATTGCGATAAGGCGAAGCACATTCAAAAATGCTAAGCACGTCGAAAATGCATAATGTCTCCACTAACCCGAAAGGTCACTTGATTACTCACTGTTTCTTGGTCAAATTTCAAGGAACCTCTAGAATTGTTTTTGCTATCAACATAGAAAATAAATAGACGGTATTTAATTCTAGAATTAAACGTTGCCAGATACATTGCACATTTTACATTTGTTTTATTTGTAATTTACCTGATATAGAGGATGAGTTCTATTTTGCACGAGTTTGTAATTATTATAATAGTATAAGTGAACAATACTTGATAATATTTTGATTATTCTATACCTAGAGTTTATAAATTTGTTTAATTGCAACTACTTTTAACATTTCAATATGTACCTTATAATTATAAAGCGTTAACATGATAATTGTCTGATTCGTAAATGTATGGTTTGTAAATGATTAAATATGTATTTGATCAAGATTAGAAATGTATGTATGTATTAAAATAAATGAAAACAAACACCCTTTCTTAAAATTCTCAGCACAATTGAATAATACTACATGATAACGATTAGGGGTGTCGCGGTAGCAAAAATGCGAACCGTTTTAACTGCGTCTTAATGACGGTCGTTTAAACGACCTTATACTTATGATAAGATAGCACGTTTTTGCGCGTATTTTGTTATACTTGACAACATATCAGATTATGGAGTAGCCTTGTCCGATAGAAATATCCTGTGCATGACAAGATAGCGTGCAATCGAAAACTTAGATATAAACGAAATGTAATATCTTATCATAAATAAACAAACGCTATGTTAAAACCCAATAATAAATATCTTGGTTTTCTAACCTTGGCTTGCAGTTATTTAATTTTCTTAATGGCATTGTTTTTTAATGTTATGTAATCGGCACTAACAATTCAAGAAATCACCTAAAAGTTGTCAATATATGCAAAAATAGCCCTTACTGCGTTAGTAACGCAGTAGAAATATGGTAATAAAATACTGCAAATCAGTCTTTAACGCACAGAACATGAAAAGTATAACTTGGATCTTGAATAATTTACCTTTCTTTAAATTTTATTACATTTTTCGCAATATTGATTTTCATGAACAATTATGGCTCATCTGGAGGCATGCAGCTTTAACAATGCGGTTTTTAGGGGCAGCGTAATTGTTTTTCCTGCATTAATCACAACTATTTACTTTTTTATTTACATCGCGACCTTTACAAACCACAGTGCATTTGCTCGTAATCTTCATATTCAATGTTAACAAAATCAATATTGTCCAAAAAGCACAATCAGATATACCAAAAAAATATTTACATGTGTGATCAAACTTTTTTGGTTTTTAAACGTTTCACGCTCGTTAAAATTTGAAGTTAATTACTTTTTTACAGTTAAATAACATTAGATATATACATTACTACGGCAAAAAATATCAAGCGTTATTATTTTGTTTGAAAACACTCCTTGCGTAACAAATATTAAGCTAGTTTAAACCGTGGCTTGATGAAATAAATCAACATTTCTATCATTTTTTGGGACATATTATTGTTTTTTGATGTTAGCATAAATCATACATTAAAGTACAATATACTTTATGCTTATTACAGATATCAGGTAAATCTATCCGGTAGATCAAGCAAACTAAGCGTGTATATAACTTAAAAATTGTAAACTTAATCTTATAATATACACTATAATGTCGTTAGTATTTTCTTCTTAAAACGTAAATAATGAAAATATATGATAAGTAAAGACATTATGAAGTAAATTTTATAATAGTGACATTGTGTAATGTACATATATAATGAGGATATATATTTATTTCTACAACACCCGGTCACGTTGGGCCTACAAGTCACTCAATGAGTTTAATCTTAAAAAAAAAACAACAACAAAAAAACAACAACAATTTGTAGCATCATTTAGATATGAACTAATTATATACATTCATGAAGTGATACAGATTAAAATGCTCTAGTACATAATAACAACATCTGCAGAAGTGAAATAGGAAGTATACAAGCTTAAATATTATCATTTTTTCTATCTTATTATCACTTGACGTATCAAATCACATATATGGTACATTATACAGTTACCATTCATGTAACATAGCTTTAGGGCAAATACATTTACAACATTTAAAAAAATCTATGCAGAGACATCCTTATTCTATTCATAGCTTCAACTAAAAATTTAGCACAATAGACATAATGAAAATTGAAAGCATATACTAACTTATTTACAAGTCGATTACAAAATCGTAAAATGTTAACCCAACGTCTATGTTGAGTGGAAATCCAACTCATATCACAATTTATTGCTAATAGTGGTTCGAATTTAACCCCTTACGAATTGAACACTTGCAGTGAATTTTTGATACATAAATTTAATGTGGAACCTTTGATTTTTTAAGTATTTAGGTATATTCCCTGATTCAGTAACGTTTAAAAAGAAAAAAAGAAAACAATAACATAAACACCCTTTCGTTAAAATTGATTCAATCACAAATGAGAAACACAGAAAAAACTACCCCACTTAGTGTTTTGACATAACAGAATGGAAATATTTTCACCAAATTAATGTTTTATTTGGTGTTTTCAAAATTTCAGAATAATTGCTCACTCCATTTTTCCAGAATAATTATTATAATTGTGAAAAATGACAAGCAGTGCAACCCAAATCAAATCAGGACGAGAATGGCATGAAAATACGATTTTCAATTCATTACTGAGTCTATTAATATTTATTTTGCTTATATTTGTGTTTAAATGCCCCGGTTGGTCTTTGTAAGAAATACGTTTTAAATCAAAGTGATACCATCAATTAAAAGTTTCGGTTGAAAGAAGACACGAATTTATACATTCGAAACATCCGTTATACAGTTCATCATGTATAACAACGTTTCATATTTTACAAAAAGGTAATAGGTTCTTTATACACTTGAAACATCCAGTTAAACAGTTTATCATGTATAACAACGTAGATAAGGGTTTCTTTCATATTTCACAAAAAAGTCCATACTTTAACTTGCCATGTTTTTTCCCTAAGACCAGACTTTAAAAAAAGTAAGGTATTAGGTTCCTTATGGATTTTGTGTGTGTATGTTTTGACGTATGCAATAAAGGAACATTTAAACTAGTGCAGAGAATTTCTTAACCTTGATTAAATAGGAATCATAATTGAAACAAAGTGGTGAAAATAATTTTAGGATCTATTTTCTATCCTTTTTTTGTTTGTTTGAGCTATCTACCCCTGAAAATTGTATTTTTGCTCTTAAAGTTTATGTTCAAGGATAGATAATTCAAAACACTGCCAAGCAATACCTGATTTGATTTTGAATTATAAATGGCTTATAACCTGTATTATATATATCGACTTAGGGAGATGTTAAAGACTTTATTCATCTAATAGTCATTTTGAGGACCAATATGTAAATACAACATATTGTTTGTAGTGAGAGAGATAAGAGGTGAACAAATGTAGAGGATGAAGTGATAGAGGAAAGCTTGTGTACGTGACTTCGGTGCCATATATGGTTGAACGCTTTATAGAAGTCACTACAGACAGCCGGGACCTACAGGTAACAGTATTGCATATATCATTGTTTGTGTATGCAATTTTAATTCATGACGATGCCACGGATTAAACTGAATTGGTTAGGTGTAAGGTTGTTGTTAATAAAAAAAATGTACAATTAACACAGGCAGTTCTTTATTTGTTTACTTATACAGCTTAACAGGAAAATATGTCGGTACATCAGAAACTAAGATTGATCATTTTTTTTAATATTGCAGTAATATTTGCCAGTGCCACATCAAACAGTGCCCTAGATGATAAAAATGAAATTTGAAAGCAATTCGTTGAAGAAGTCAGATAATTGTTTAGACAGAACAGAAGATCGAGGATGGATGAAATGTCCCCAGATCGAATAGAGACGAGTTTCTTTTAAGTGGAAAAGTTGTGTTATTTGCAAATGACGTAGCATTAAATTTGTCAATATAATTGCTGATGTCACATATTAAAAAGAGCTAAGGATACTTGTGCTGTTTGATTTTGTGTAAAGGATAAAGATTATTTAGACTATTTCTTTTTTAAATATTTGATTAACATACTTGTTCAATTGTTTTTTTTTCGATATCATTTTCTTTACGTATTCGTTCGGTACCTTCTTTTCTGAACAATATTTTGTAATGTTGACAAATAAGTCTTAATTCTTTTTCTTATTATAATTGGTATTTATTTTAATGTGGTATAATTAGAACTCTTTCGTGATGAATATTGGTGTTTGACAGTTAACATTAAATTCCTCAATTGGTTTACTGTTTCATCCATATTATTGTCAGCGTTTACTATCGATTGCTTATTAGCTGAGTTTATTACATTTCTACACGCATATTAAAAAGCCGTATCTTGTAACTCTTTGATTAGAACTTTCTTAAATGTGAAATTAAAGGCACATTATGCCTTGCATTCTTTAAAAATGTCACATATAATGGATTAGGTGCATGTTAGATGTTTTACAACTGAAAAAAGTAGTGCTGAATATGTGTCTTATATTCACTCTCTTTTCTTTTAGACAACATTTATGTCAGGTTTGGTAATACCCTATTTAAACAGATCATAGGAATTCCTATGGGTACTGTTTGTGCACCCCTGGTCGCCGATTTGTTTTTGTACTGCTATGAAAGAGACTTTATGTTGAGTCTCTCTGAAGATAAACAACAAGATG